CTTAAAATTTGTGGAATATGAGAAAGCGTTTAACTCTATAAACCAATACAACCTGATTACTGCATATCTATATGTATATATTTATATATATATATATATATATATATATATATATATATATATATATATATATATATATACAGTGTAGGTAAAAGTTTATGGTCGGTATGGTAAAATTTAACAGGATATCTAACACAGATATAAAATCATATTTTCAGCGAATAGACAAAGATGACAATTATATTTCCCTTTGGTCTCCCCTCCATAAATCTTATTGACACCTATTGCCCATTAGTGAGACGATTAGTTCCGATCAGAGTTATTTTACATATTATCTGGTTCGGATCCTAATATAGCTAAGAAACTAGAGGTGGGTCCTCTGGTTTTTTAAATTTTTATCGGAACCGTTTTTCGTAAACTGTAATTAGTTGATTGTTTACTAGTATTCAAATTAGCGAATACACAAACATATTGGCTATTATCGTTTATGTGTATAACTATTGAAGTAAAAGAAACTAACGAAGGATATATTTACTAACTTGAAAAATAAATTAAACAATACAAATAGTACTGACATTTACATTACACATTATTAAATCGCGAATCTTCTAAATTGACATTTAAAAACATAAGTTTTTCCAATTTTCTTGTTAACAGTGATCTTCTTTTATTTAAAATTAAACCAGATTTTGAACATGTGTTCACAAGGAACATATTTTGTTACAATACTACAATATTTACTATGAAATCTTTTGTGGGTGATATAGTATCAGACAAATACATGTCGACTTCTTTTATATCTCTCGATACAGGTGAATGTTTAGATGAGTCATGTCCAATTAATTCGTCAAAAATACACCATGGAAAGTCATCTTTATCAGTTTCTTTTTCTTGTACTGGTTAATTTTCAAGATTTACTAAACTTATGCAAAGACTCGTTTCATCCGTTTTCCATAGTTGAAGAACAAGCTTTTAAAAAGTTTGCAGGGTGGATTCCTGGATATAAACCGCCAACAAGAAAAACTATGTCAGCAAATTATTAGATCACAAGTTGTTAAAGAAAATATCTGTATTACTACTGACTTCTGGACATCTGGAGTAACTGAGAGTTACATCGCATTAACAGAACAATATTTAACCGAAAATTTAGAATTTTAAAACGGTTTTATTAGGCTGCTGCCATTTTCTGGAAACCCTAATTCAGAAAAAATCGCTTCTGAAATTAGTGAAATTATTAATCAGTGGGGTCTAAAACGAAAAGTAAATTTTGCAGTAACTGATAATGCCTCAAATATGGTCAAAGCTATTAAAGATGTTTTGGAATGAAAACATTTAAATTGTTTTGCTCATGCGTTACATTTATTGATGGAGAACGCACTTAAATGCTGTCGTGTACAAATAGATAAAATAAAAGGTCCTTTTTTTCGATAATTTTGCAAAAAACACATTTCAAAAAAAGTACTTTATCTTCAGAAAGGCTTTTAAAGTATCAATTACAACATAACAAAGTTCCCAGACGGCCAATCCAAGACGTGGAAACTAGGTAGAACTTCACCTATTATATGTTAAAAAGAATGACCGCGTTAGAAGAAGCAATCCGTTCCACATTGGTATTAGTTAATACAGACTTAGACTTAGACCAAATCTAAATAAAGAACACTGGATTATTTGATCTCAACTTTCCCAAATTTTACGGCCGTTTAAAGAAATAACAAGTACAATGAGTGGCCAAAAATACTTGAAGGGTAGTTCATTGATTGTTATAGTGCGCTGCCCGCAATAATCTTGCAATTAAATTTGAGCAAACGGTAAACTTACATCCATAGTATCCGACGTAGTAAAATTACTAATATCGGGATTAGAAAAAAGATTTAGAGTTATAGAACAGAGTGGCACATTGTCATTATGTACATTTATGGATTCACGATTTAAAGTGCAGGGTTTTCTGATAAAAATGAAGCTAAAAAAACAAAAGAAAGAGTTAAGAAGCTGGTTACTTCTATAATTAAAGAACAAGAAGATTGTACTATTGAAAATCAACCAGTACAAGAAAAAGAAACAGTTAAAGATGATTTATGTCCATGGTGTATTTTTGATCAATTAATTGGAGATGACTCATCTAAACGTACACCTGTATCGAGAGTCCATTACAACGTTGGAAAAACCATCGCCATGTATATCCTAACTTAACCACTATATTCATAAAGTATTGTAAACGTGAACACATGTTCAAAATCGGGTTTAATTTTAAATAAAAAAGAACACGGTTAACAAGGAGTAAAGTAGAAAAACTTATGTTTTTAAATGTCAATTTAGACGATTCACGATTTAATAATAACGTGTAATATAAATATAAGTACGATTTACTATTTGTATTGTTTAGTTTATTTTTCATTTTATAATAAATATATCATTAAATTCTTTCACTTCAATAAATATACACATAAACGATAATAGCCATTACGTTTGTTTATGTAGGTATTCTCTTACTCAAAACTACTTTTAAACAATCATAGTTACTTGTTTACGAAAATCGGTTTAGTTGCGTTGAGGGCGTAGGCGGAAAATTTCAGGCCAATGCTTTTTAAATGCATTCATTTTTTTTAATCCTGAGAAAACTAAAAAATATTTAAAAAAATTTAAATGCAGAATGAAAGATTACATTATTACCGAAGGCCGAAAGTCCCTTAGAATAAACAAAAAGTTTTGTGAATGATATATTTGAAATTAAAAATCACACTAATTTTCTCTTTTTTTCCCTCCCTGTACCTTATTAAAATACACATTATAGAAGTTTTCAGGGACTTTCGGCCCTCGGTAATAATGTATTATTTCATTCTGCATTTAAATTTTTTCAAAAATATTTATTAGTTTTCTCAGGATTCGAAAAAAATGTTAAAAGTCAACAAGTTACAACCACCCACCTCTACTACTCGTTACCCTCTACTTTGATTCGGTGTTTTGACCAGACAGACGTTGCCAAATAATTGTCTATGAAGATAATGTGGCGTTATTGTATGCGGTTTATTATTTCAAATTGGGAATAAGGCACAATGAGACTTTAAAATAATCTTATTTTGATGTTTAGATTTTTAATTCGGAAATCGTACTTAAAATACGAAACATTAATAAATTTTATTTATATAAAACTCCATTTCGCCCAAATTTGATTATCTTAGAACATTGTTCAAATTCTACAAAGACAACAGGTCAAATAAAACCAATAAGTTTGGCAACGTTGAACTTCCCTATTTTTATTATATCCACGCATACATGTTCGGCGATATAAAGGGCGGACCTAATATACCTCTCTCTTTTTAAACAGTTGTTTCTCACTCCATCTCACGTAAGCTCCATACCGACCATAAACTTTTTCCTACACTGTATATATATATATATATATATATGTATATATATATATATATATATATATATATATATATATAATATATACATAGGAAATTATCAGGTAAAATGGTCTGTATAAAAATCTTTGCATCTTTACGTTTGAAGTAATTTTAATTTTTTTTTTATCGTATTGCTGTAATGAACGTGCCATGACAGTTATGAGTTGTGAAATCTTTTAATTTCTGTAAGTGTTTTTTAAAATGTATTTGTACGCATTTTTTTTAATGTTAAAATTTATTTAGTTTACTCCTTATAAAGCTATAAAATAAATAGCAAAATATTGAGTTTTTTTTTTTAGAAAAAACAAAGATTGTTATATAGAATACTTGACCTGATAATTTCCCACGTATTTACAAATTATTTTTTTTATTCGAGATAATATATATATATATATATATATATATATATATATATATATATATATATATATATATATATATATATATATATATATATATATATATATATAGAGAGAGAGAGAGAGAGAGAGAGAGAGAGAGAGAGAGAGAGAGAGAGAGAGAGAGAGAGAGAGAATCAGAAAACTCATTTGAGATATGATATTGAAGATAGCGGTGTAGAGAGACTTCGAGGATCTCTTGGATGGATTACGTTACGAGTCTCAAAGCGTTAAGAAGAGCAACGAAGAACACGAAGTTAAAAGAAAAACTAAAGAAAGAATTATTGCGGATCATATTCCATGACAAGCTAGAGGGTGGACGAAGTGTGGGAGGAAGAGGAATACGCAAAACCACTCTTTAGAGGAGTGCTTCGAATGTCAGTGGTCATGATTATTGCCAACATCTGTAACGGAGGTGACACTTGGAGAACTGCTTGTTGGCTGAAAATTTGATGGACTCAGACATGAAAACAACTTGGAAAAATGAACATAGACTACAGTGGACTTACTCATCTAAGATTGTTAAATTTGACAAGCTATTAATAACAAACAAAAGTCATATCGTGTCAGTTATCGATAATGAGAAAAAACCCTAAAGTTTTCTTCATAATTTGTAGCGGAATTACTATTATATTTGCATATGATATGGTATTAATAAAGACCAATCAGATGTTATAATTACTGTTCCGTTAGATACTATATGGTCTAAATACATCTCATGTATTTAAGTGAACGATCCTCAAATAGTTCCAGTGGTCTTAGGAACGCACTTTAGGAGTTATGTAATATACTGGTAATACTATTGTAAGGTCTTATACTTCAAAATCTTTAATAACGTCCAGATTGTAAGTAATGATGTGAGCTAATTGGCTCTGCCAAAGCCATTTTACATACAAAAAAAAACAACAGAATTCTTTATTAAAAATTTCTATTTCAAAAAGTTTTTGAACTAGTCCAGTTGAAGTCCAATTATTAAATAAAGTTTTCTTTTGTAATTTATATACTTTAATACTATATAAATATTTGATAGTGCTGTAATAAATAATTTCACAACAATATCAACTTATGACTAATCTCTTTCGGCATCCAGTATTTGCATTGTTATCTGTGAATACTATTATTTAATTGTTTTTAACATAGAATATAATTATTTTTATTAGACCTCGATTCTCATTTTAGTTTATGTTTCTTGTAGGTCTAGATGAAGAAGTCGACGCCGAGCAGGAAACAATAATACAAACAGCTTTATTGTCTTTAAAACTACTGGTTAAACTTCTCGCACGGCAAGAACCTGAAAAATTTGTTCAAATCCTAGACTTCATTACAGGAGTGTTAAAATCCGGTAAAGCTCAAAACAACGTGCTTGCCTCAGTAGTTCTTTGTCTGGCTGAGCTATGTATTCATCTCAAAGGTCACGCTATTGCAAGTTTGCCAGATTTCATGCCTATACTTATTAAAATTTTGAAACAACAGAAACACGAAGAAGTATCTAGCGTTTTATTAAAAAGTTTGATTACGACTATTGAAAAGATTTTGTACAGCATGCCTTTGTTTTTAAGTCCTTATTTAGAGAAACTGTTAATTGAAGTCTCCCAGTTGATGTCCAAGTGGAATCTAAATAAAGACGAACAAAAGGTAAAATTAAATTTAAAAAATAAGTAAATGAAATCGTTTTTATTCAATGTTGAAATACTAAGGAAGATATTTCTTCAATCTCATCTTTTTCTTATTTTATGGTATTGATTCTAACATTGGTATTACCTCGTAAATTCGTTACACAGTTATCACTTTAGTTTTCAACGATTTTTATTATAATTTTGTTTTCATTTTAGGTGCAACAACTATCCACTAAACTAAATAGCATAAAACAAAAAATAGGAACGACAATACCCCTCAGAGTTCTTCTGCTGCCAATAGAAAACTGTTATAATACACTAGTGGGCAGAAACTGTTTCCATGCCACCAGCTCACTGCTAAATATCTTGGCAGAGAGTATAACAAATACTAACGGACTTGATGTAAACAGCAATTTAAACGAACTTACAAATTTCTTTCTTAATATCCTTAAGTTCCGCACAGAACAGGAATGTACACTAGAAGATGCTAACATGGTTGAAAGCCATATTGTTAAAGCTCTTACGGTTCTTATTTTAAAACTTTCGGAAAATACCTTCCGGCCGCTATATTACAAACTTTACGACTGGGCTGCGAGGAGTGACGTTAAAACAGAAAGACTGATTACTTTTTATAACCTTTCTAGCAAGATAGCACAATCACTTAAAGGACTTTTTGTATTGTTTGCTGGCCATTTTATTAACAACGTAGCAGCCATGTTAGATGCTTGCAACAAGGTCAAAACTGAAGAACTTTACTTTGATGATCAAGAAAAAAATATATTATTGTTGCAGAATATACTATCAACGTTAGATGCGGTATTTTTGTATGACAACCATAAATTCGTAAACAGAGATAGATTCGATATTCTAATGCAGCCGTTAGTAGATCAATTGGAAAATCCCCTGGGAGGCTTAGGTGAACTGATAAAACGAAATAACACAATCTTAACACCATGCTTAGTTAATTTTTCAGTAGCTGTTGCTGATGATGCTCTTTGGAAGCAAATGAATTACCAGATTTTACTGAAAATGCGACATAATTCACCTAAAATTAGATTGGCAACATTGCATTGTGTTACAGAGATAGTTAAAAAACTGGGCGAAGATTTCCTTCCATTACTACCGGAAACTATTCCATTCCTGGCTGAGTTGCTGGAAGACGAAGAAGAGGATGTAGAAAAGGCTTGTCAAAAGGCAATACAAGAAATGGAGAAAGTGTTAGGAGAACCTTTACAGAAGTATTTTTAAGCTTTACCTAATCTATAGGTATATTTTGTTTTTTATATATTTTAATAAAAATTGTATATAAGAGTTCTGTAATAAATTTTTCTGTCATTTTAAAATAATGTAATGATATATGACAAAAATGAAGTGCGATAATCTAAAACAAATTATGACAATTACAACATGTAAGAATCGTATCTATTTTAAAAAAAGTTCATAGTTTTAGAACTATCAATCTCTCAAAGAAGATAGTTCCGCCTATCGAATACCCGATTAGACAGAAAAGTTTCCAGAAAATTTCTGTAAAATGGTTGCTTGTGTAATTTAATGGAGTGTCCTCTAAGTAATTATAAGACCATATATACTAGGTCTTTTTATTGAGAAGAGATTACGCAGTGCATACCCCTACGTTAAATATTTTTACCTAGCTGTAGCACTGCACAATGGATGTATTTAGAGAAAAAAGCCACGCTTCTATCCATTCGGACACTTTCTTCTGATCATGTTGGAATTGATTGTTATCACACATATCATTTTTATATAATTTAGCGCCATCCGCGAAAAAAGAAATATTGCTTTTGGTAATAAAATATATATCAACTGTATACAATAAAAACAGAATTTGTCCCCAAAAAATGGAGCTCTAGGATTTGCTTCCTAGTTTTATAATTACCAAATTTAGTTGTTCGTGCTTTTGATTATAAAACTTATTTGACAAAAGCTGAATTTAGGCAGGACGTCTATCAAGATCACAGCAGAACAAGCCTCCTAGACGAATTTATGTTTCACAGCTAGTGGGAAGTAGATGAAGAGGTATGCCAAAACTTGGACTGATGGTGCAGATGATTATGCTAGAAAAATAGGTAAAGCAAACTGGCAATGGATAACTGACGAAGTAGACTTGCGAAGGTCGAGGCTCTACTATATGACTATAGCACCAATGATAATGATGATTTACGCTTAAATACAGGTGGGAAATGAAACTAATTCATGTTTAAAGAAAATGTGTGATACATGACAGTAGCGGATCTTCTTACGACTTATATATATTATAAAATCAAAAAGTCGTCATTTTTCTACAGTTTTGATTTTCTAGTAGAAACTCCATCTGAAAACAAAAAAAAATTACTATTAATAATCCATTCTCCTCCCCGTACAGATTTTTTAGGAAATACAATCATTTTTTGTATAATTGTGAGATGAGATGCAATATGTTGTGGGGTGCAATTTTTATATCCTCCATATTTGTATTTCATCTTTAACATTGTCTGTTTGGCCTTGCAAATTTATAGAAGGCACATATTAACCCATTAGCGCCTACAGTTACCGTATAGACCCAGTTGTAAAGGTATCGTTTAACACAATAAAATTATAATAAAATATGCAAGCAACGTTAGGTTCACTACATAAATACTTTATTTAGACTTGTCTAAACACGTGTTGATGAATACCCATCAGTGTTTTGTTAGATTTCTCAATTGAAGGAAGTTAGAATATCGTGTTATAGTAAAAAGGGTTTGGTTATGGACATCCAGTTCATATATATGCTTTAGATTTAGCATATGAAAAAGATGATTCAACAGACATTTTTTTTTGTTTCGCCGGAATCAATTTTCCTTACGGATGAGGATTTAAGTGACGAAGACGAAGGTAGTTCTCCGGATAACTTGAATGCTCGTCAACTTTGTCCAGGTGCGGAAGTTGCATTTGCAGATTTCGAACGTCTACGAGAAGTACAATCAGACCTAGAAGCACATTATGATAATGATTTGCAGATATGATAAAAAATCGTTCATAGGGCATTTTATCTCAGAAGAAAATATAGCTATCGATGATACGCTACTTTCGCCATCATAGACGCAAATAGTTTATTAGAGGAAAGTCTGTAAGATTTGGCTATAAGGTGGGTGTAATCACGGAAAAAACCCTAGATCTAATGAAGAATATCAAAAATGTTTTGGAAAAGCTATAGCTCCCATGGTACAGATGATCGAAGAATTGAGTGACAAAGGATTTCTGAGATACAAATTTTTCGTTGTTAATTTATTTACCAGTACAAAATTGTTAAGTACTCTAAAAGCTAATAGGTACGAGGTTACAGGTACTGTGAGGTATAATTCCTAGAAATTGTCCACTTGTTTATAAAAAGACGATGGAAAAGAGGGCACGACGGGAATATTCAATACGTTCGTTGTAGGCACAAAAAAATTGTAAAATATATTCTGAAAAAGAAATCAAGACTAACAAGTACATACTACAGATTTGATTTCACGTATAGTGCGTCTGTGTATCCGCTTATACGTATTTCACCCTAAAAAGAATCTCCGGAGCGGCTATTCACAAACTCTCTGAACGTAAAAATAATCTTTCCTGCCATAGAAGCAACTATAAAATGGCTTCGATCTGGACGCAATAGCAACATCTGATAAATAAATTCATAAACTAATTTTCGAAACCATATTCAGATTGTTGCTTTAATCTGTGCCTTCTAAGAATTGCAAGGCAAAACAGACGTTGATAAAGATGTTATTAGAGAAATTGGGAATCTAAAATTGAGACAGGCATACGGAAACCACCTGATTATCTTCCCAAAAGTACACTCCAAATAAATAGCGCAATACAAAAAAATATAGATTCAGTGCTATCCGCGTAGCGACCGATGCTGTCCTGATTCCGGGTCAGACAGTGTGAAATGGGCTACTAGGCAGGAGCATGCGCACAACCAGACATGGAGCGTCAGAGGTCTTCTCCAATCTGGAAAACTTCACATAGTAGAGAAATAATTAGTTCTAATAACTAACTAATTATTAGAAATAATAAGACAAAATGACATGTGGTCTAGCAGAAATACACTGGAGACATCAAGGGCATATTAAAACAAAAATCACTATCTACATATCAGAATCTGAGAAAACAAGAAAGAATGGAGTAGCCACACTAATAAACAATGGAATATCGAAATAAATCAGGCAATATAAAACAAAAAACTATAGACTCATAAACATAACATTATAAACCAAACCAGAAAATTTCAATGTCATTCAGCCCATAGCTGTGGCCCCAGATGAAGATATCCATGAAATTTACACAAGATAGGAAACATCTCGAAGAAAATACTCTAAATGGAGCTAGTATATATTTATTGGAGACTTGAGACAACGCCAAGGTGGAAAAAATGAAAATGAACTACATTTGGCATGGGTGTTACAAACAACAGGAAAGGTCTCCTACAGTTTTCCAGTGAAAGCAATCTTTCTCTTATTTTTATGTAGACATCCCTCTGTCTGTTTTTCAATCTTCCTCTAGTAAGTTGTCGTTCCATCATTTTCGTGGTCTTCCTACTGATCGTCTTCCTATTGAGGATCCATCTCTTGCCCTCTTTACTGCCCCATTTGTTGTCATTTGGCTTATTTGATCGTTCCATTCTACTCTTATGTTTCTTACCCAGTCCTTCATGTTCTCCACCTTGCAACTACGTCATATATCTGTACTTCTAGCTCTGTCCAAAAGCGTTTTGCCATCAATTTTGTTAATTGTTTTCATCTCTGCTGTTTCTAACATCCTTTTTGTCCTATCTGTGCCAGGTCGTGTTTCTGTCGCGTATGTCATTATTTGTCTGATGGCTATTTTGTAAACCTCTTTTGTAAAAATGTGATGCCTAGATATTAAATCTCCATCACTTGTTCTATTATCTGACCTTCCAGCTCCAATTTACATTTTAGTAAATTTTCTGTTATAACCATGTCTTTTTTGGGGAAATTAACATGTTAAATTTTCTGATGGTAATATTAAATTGGTGCAGCATACGTTGTAAATTATCTTCACTTTTCGAGAGCAGTATTGCATCGTCTGCATAGCAGATTATTTTAAGTTCCCATTTGGTATCCTTTTTTAGTTGTTACTTTTTTTATATTATTTCTTCTATAATCAGATTGAACAATAGAGGACTCAGGGAATCTTCCTGTTTTAATCCTTGAAAACAATCTAATGATATTGTAATGTCTTTATTAATTCTAATTTATTGTTCTTATTTTAATTTACTAAAGGTTCAATATTTATAACACTTACAAACTTAATTTATTTAAAGGTTATTTATAATAATTTATCTTACAATAATAATTTATTATTACGATCGTTACATTTAAATACCCGTCGCAAATTTCTTTTCTGACTGTATGTTTTCTCCAACAAGGTCCCGTTAAATACCCAATACAGTTAGACTAGAAAAGTCGATCGCCTTCTCGTCTGGTATGTTTTTTTCTAGGGTCGGGCCGCCGGTTGCATTCTTGTTACCTGAAGTATTTATTCGAATCCTTCTGGAGAGTTCGGTAGTATATGACCTAGAAAAAACGTGAATGCATAAAATATTAGATATTAATAAATATGTTTACGGTTTTGGGTCAGAATTTATCGTAACATTATTAAATACACTTTATAAACATTACCCACGAAGGCCGTCGACGTGGAATAGTCCAAATAAAGAACACAAAAATCGAATCGACTTTATACACTCGTGCATAAAAAATGGAAAAACTCAGTAATAAACGTAAAAATATGCCTGGAGCGTATTGTGGACCAGATCATAAGCTGTTAAAAATCAACTGCAGGCTCAAACTATATACAACTAGAAAAATACATCATACAAAACAGCTAAGGGTAAATAATGCGGAAGAATTCTACATGAAACTGATAAACAAGAAAAAACCACAAATATTAGAAAAAACAAATAAAACATGGATTGGAATAAAACGCTGTATAAATTCAATGGAAAAATACTGTACATCGCATAAAATCCAAAATAATAAAAATTGGATGTCAAGTGAAACCTCAGAATTAGTGGAAGAAAAAAGACACAACATTCCACAACAAAAGAAAACAAATTTCAAGAAATAGCGGAGCCAAGTAGAAAAATAAAATGTATGTAAATAAAAACAACCATATAAATAACGTGTGTCAAGAACTGGAGCAACATGCAAACCACCATGAAAGTCATTAACTATTTAACTAAGTTAAATATTTTGCCCGAGAGTTCAAGCCACAACTTCAAGCCATTGGAGGCAATAATGAAAACCGGCATAAAGTGCATTGCAGAAACCTGGAAAAAGTACTGCTTAGAA